TCTCTGAGTCCGCAGGCTATCCTCAGAAGCTTTCAATCGCTCCACCTTCTCGGCCTTGGCCAACGCCTCAGCTTCCTGTTTAGCTGCGATCGCCTTGGACAACCTAGCTTCGACCTTAGCTCGGGACGCCTCCGATCTCTCACGAGCCAGCTCGGACTTCCGAGCTCCAGAATCATAGGCCCGAACCATGGAATTCATCGAATGGAAGGCCTGAAATAAAACGAGAATCATTAGCAAGTATACATGGAAACGATAGTAAAATAGGTCAAGAACAGATCGATGATACCTTCAGGAATCCGGCAGCAGTTTCACGGTAGTTTTGAGCCTCTAACAAGGCATCGGGAGCAGACAGTGGCGGCCCCGAGCAAGAAGCGACAAAGTTCGCCAAAGCGATCTTGTCCTTGTACACCGGAGTTTCGCTACGACTCCTTTTCTCCTTCCTAGAAACTCCCGAGCCATCACCTCGGGGTCTTTTTCCCCTAGTTTTGGATTTTGCCTCGGCGGCTGGAGCAGCAGCGACCAGAGTCCCTACCACCTCGGGGATGTCGGTCGTAGGGGAGATGTGTCCGGCCACCTCGGGAACGATCAAAACCGTATCCCGAGCTTCATCAATTGCCTCGGCACCAATAACAACCTCAGGGTTGGCCTCGGGAGGAGTAGGAGGTCTGAAGTTTGCCTCCAAAACGGCCTTTTCCTTAGCCGCCTTCTTTTCAGCAGCCTTCCTGGCTCTCAGAGATTGCGCAGCTCCTTGCATTTCGATGAGGTGATCTAGACGGTGGTCGGATGATTCTGAAGAAGACTGGCAGGGAGCTCCGTGCAACAAACGCAAGGCTCTCTCGATTCTTTCCTGGGAGAAGTGCTTTGTCCAATCGCACTTCCGAGCAATTAGTTCGTCGTGGAGATCTAGAAAACCTTCCGGAATGTCTTCGAGAAACGACGGGTTCCGATCTACATGAACAAGAAAAACGGTTAGTGAAAAGTTTAAAGCAAAACGAGACAGCAAATACGGCTTCGGGCTTAGTACCGATTTGTCTCCACTTTCCAACAACTTTCCCTAAGTAGTCCTCGTGGACACTATACTCATTCAAGGCTACGAAGAAGAAATGGTCGGTATATTTTTCATCCTTGCTCGGGAAACCACCGATAACCCTCCTATTTGGCCTCGGAGATATGTAAAATCTCTCAACAGGGCCCGGTATGCGCCGGATCTCTAGGAGATTCCTTAAGTGGCTTAGGTCAACTAGATTGACCGTCTCAATACTTCGGACTAGAATCCCCACTAGATGCCGTAAGCCTCGGGTCGTTATCTGGGATAAAGCAATCTTGTACGACCACAGAAACGCCAAAATCGGCCTCGGGATTGGAAGCCAAAGGTAGCAATGATAGAAGAACCCCTCGTAAAGGGTAAAAAACCCCTCGGGTGGATCATCGGCTCGCTCGTTTGGAGTTGGAAGTCTCAGTTCAACCCCCTCGCTAAAACCAAACCGAGCCTTGAGATCCCGAAGGGAATCCTCCGTGCATAAAGTAGAACCCGGGGGATCAGGTTTCCTAGCCTTCTTGGCTCGTTTTCTCTTCTGTTGACCCTTGGCTGCTTGGACTTTAGCTTGGAGCAACCTAGCCGCCTCGTCGGAATCGTAATGAACCTCCTCGGCCTTAATAGGAAGTAGAGGCGCCTCGGGGGCATTTCGCCAGCACGATACTCCAGCCTCACCAGCTGCCGGTGGATGGGCCCTCCTTCTACTCAAAATCACCTCGGGATCATCAGGCAAATCCTGATCCCGAGCCACATTTGCAATCGCGTCTTCCCGAACGACGAAACAGCTCGGGTCTTCTTCCCGTGAAGCCGACTCTGCATCACTTCCACGGTACAACACGATCTGATGGTCCGCCTCGGGGTCGCTCGAGGAACTCCAGACCATCTTTCCCTTGTAGACGGGGAGATGAGTGTCGCCTCGGGGCGAATCGCTGGAATCAGATAGAGACATTTTCTGGCTCGGGAGATTGAAGAAGTTGATCGGAGGAACAAAGTTTGACAGATCGGAGAAATCAACCTAGATCTAATGACGGTGGCGCTATGACGGAAGTATTAACGGAAAAAGTAGAAAATGCAAGAACTCAAGATCAGAGAGAAGAGAACGAACCTTGAAAATTTTCCTTTGCAATTGCGAAATGAAAAAATGAATCGAAGACTCGACATTTATAGGGACTTAAGGCGCGTCGGGTACGAACGAGCCAAATAAAAAAGCATCGCGTCCGCGTCTAAGGCGCGTCGGGCACGCACAAATCGAATAAGACATTTCGCATCCGCACGAATCTCGGGAATCAGCGAAAGGACCTTTCCACTTCTCGAGAAGGAACCCCAACCGTCACACGCCAAGAGAAGATGAAACGACAGAGGAATTCGAATCGCCAAAAACTTTAAAGGGACCGAACTGTTCAAAGTAAACGGCTCGGCCTAATTGTCATAAAGCTCGTCACGCTCGGTTCTCCAAACTAACGAGCTGGGGGGCTAACTGTTGGGGTCGGATTCCATCCTTTAGCGCCGAGCCAGACTTAGAACACTTCGGGAGTCTTTCAGTGATCACCTCGGGGCATCGCATCATTCACCTCGGGATATCCATCTAATCGATTTAGTATACCCGAGCCTATCGCCTCGGGGATACTTTAACAAGACGTTTCAAAGCACCCGAGCCCATCGCCTCGGGGATACCTTTAACAAGTAGTTTCAAGTACCCGAGCCTATCGCCTCGGGGATACTTTAACAAGACGTCTCAAAGCGCCCGAGCTAATTGCCTCGGAGGTACTCGAGCCCAGTCGCCTCGGGGACACCCGAACAAGCCATCCTACAGTGCCCGAGCCAGTCCTTCCTGTGTACCCGAGCCGATTGCACAAGTTTCTCCGAGGTGAAGTCTTCGTCATCGCCCGAGGTAAAGACTTGGTAAATATTCGCTTTCAAAGTACTATTTCCAAGCAAGGTATCATTTCCGAACAAGAAGGATCATTTCCGATATACCCGGAAATGATAAGAGAGAATCTAGAAGGATCGACTCAAATCAGGAAATCTCCCAAAGACTCCGAAAAATAAGGAAACTATCCTAATCCGCGATATTCTGAGCCGACTTCAAGATAAATGGAAATCTTCCAAGAATATCGCTGGAGAGGCGGTTTATCACCCCTATATAAAGAGACTCAAGGCTCAAGCAAAGGGCAAGCAATATCGCTCTAGAATTTACACTACGCAAAGCTCTCACAGCACAAACATCTTTTTCCTTTTACGATCAAACTCTTGTACGATCAAAGTCATCTTTCTCTAAATAATATCAAGAACACCATCTTTGGTTACAATCGTTTCTGTTGTTCTTTGAGAATTCACGATTATCGTATCCCTAAAATAAAACCCTAGACAAATCTTGATTGTGTTAGTTTCGACTTCCACAGTGGAGTTGTTAAACAGGTTGCTACGGGTAAAGAGAGAGGGGAAAGCTCGAAACTTGTGTTTGGGGATGAAGAGAATGAGAAGGTTGAGAGAGGGGAGAAGAGGAAGAGAAGCGGGGATTCGGGGAGGAGCGATAAGGACAGAAGATCAGCTTTGGATGAGTTGATGAAGGAGGAGAGGATGAATCGGAAAGACTACTGGTTGTTCGAGGGGATAATTGTGAAGGTAATGAGTAAGGCTTTGGCAGAGAAAGGGTATTATAAGCAAAAGGGTGTTGTGAAGAAAGTGATTGATAAGTATGTGGGGGAGATCGAAATGCTTGATTCTAAGCATGTGCTGAGAGTTGATCAAGTGGAGCTCGAGACTGTGCTTCCACAGATAGGAGGGATAGTGAAGATAGTGAATGGGGCATATCGTGGTTCGAATGCAAAGTTGTTGGGTGTGGATACAGAGAAGTTCTGTGCTAAAGTGCAAATCGAGAAAGGTGTCTATGATGGAAGAGTCATCAAGTCCATTGAGTACGAGGACATATGCAAACTTGCTTAGTTAATATATCTTTAGACCAAATCAAGTTTTACGATGCCTTGTATTTCTGCTTGAACCTTATCTTTTATCTGCAAGTGAAGCATTATGATTCCTGATGGATAGCCTCATGACCAAGGTACTGCAGATGATTCTATTTCAGACATGTTATTGACTGGAATATATGGGTTTGTCACTGGTTTACTTTTATGTCATGGCATGGCTTGTAGTGTCTTTGAGATATCTTTTGATGTTTTGACGGTTCTCTTCGTTTAAACAAAATGCATTATCCTTAACAAGTTATTCTATAACTCTTGTATTTTGCATCCTCTTCAACACTACAAGATGCCAATGCGAAAACATTTTAGTCAAATCATATAAAAGGTTCGAGTTTGTTTTATATTACCATCAAAATTATTTTACCTAAACAAGTTCATAAATTTGGCTATCTAATCAAGCATAGAAATTTCAATAAATGTAAGAGACTGCAAACAACAAAAATATTCAGACTTGAAAGTGGTAACTAATTAATTGGGCAGGAGACAAGTGATCCACACAAGTCTTTAAAAAGCAATTCCTTTAGGTGGGCACTGAAAAAGCAAACCTTTTTTTTTTTTTTTTTTCCGGTTGGTCCACTGTATATAAAGTTTGGTTGGTTCTTGACTTCTCGTCAAAATCCTGAATTCCAAATAAAAAAAAGGGCAAGTATTTAACAAGACTACGAGTCTACAAGTCCACGACTTGATCAATTTGTTCTTCATCTATTTCCTTATTCTCAGGGAAATCCAGGGTTTTTTTAAATTCTTATTAGTCTCTCTTTCTCTCTTGTTTCGTTGTCCCTCTCAAATCAGAAAAGTATCTGCCTTTTTAGTTTTTAAATTCATTCCCCTTCGATCTTGCTTTTTCATCGGTGATTGTTCTCAAAAGGAGAATCTCTACTTTTTCAATTAAGCATTACCATTGTCCGTTTCCTTGTCTTTGGTTCTTTGATTCTCTTAAAGAGGATTTTTATACATATTCTGTCGAAACCCTTTTTCTGGGTTTTGTCTGCGTTTGTTTTCTTCTTCTAATTTACAATTAAAAATAGTTCTCTGCGCTCAAAGTTTGTAGCTTTTTATATCTAGCTGGGCACGTCTAATGGGCTAAATCGGTCAAAGAGGTGTAAGCAAATTCTTCATTGATGATCAACTGTTTAAAAGACTCAATACATGTTTTGATGAGTGTTTTGCTATGTAAGATTTAGTGCTCTTTAATCTGTTTCTTCTGTAAGCCATTCTCTTACTTAGAGCTGAAGTTGACAACTGTTGTTTCAGCTACTAGTGATGCTGATGATGATCATGAAGAGGTTCTTGAACTTGTCGATGGTCATAGGAATGATGTGGTTGGAGAAGAAGTAGTTGCAAAGGAAGACGAAGGTCAAATTGTTGGTGACACTCTCACTCTGAAAAGTAGTCTTAGAAAGGCGGATTCAAGTTCAACCGAACCTGAGAAGAGGGAGAAGAAGAAGGTACAATGGGTGGATGTGATTGGGAAGAAACTTGCTGAGATTCGAGAATTCGAACCTAGGTTGGTTTTCTGTTGTTGAAAATTGAGATTCTCAAAAATTTAGAGAAAAACCTTAGTTTGGTCATAAGGTTTCTTTCTGATGGTATCAAATTTGTTTTGGTTTCTTTAATTGAATAATGACTTGTTTTAGCATCTATTTCTTCTTGTTTTATGGAGAATTTGATTGATTTTGGAATGATGTGATTCTTTCTTTTTCTTGCAGTGAAGAAGATGATATTGACTCTGATCGAGGAAAAACCTGTGTTTGTGTTATCCTGTGATCCCTCCACTTTAGTTTAACTGGGAGATCTAAGGCAGAAGACAAAGCTGGTGGCTTCAGCATTAAAATCCATATACATGGAGGTACATATAGAATCTGCATTTGTGTTCAACAGCCAATCTTAAGTTTGCGCTTGAAGCCATTTGATAATTCCTGATTTAACACGGAAGCATTCTTTTTCTTCTTCTTTAGAAGTGTATAAAGTATAGGTCTTCAACTTCATTTGTTTCTTCAATCATTTAATGAAGTTCTTTCTCATTCAGATTGTGGAGCAAGTTATAAAGTTTAACAATTGCTATGTGCATCGATATCTAGTTCTTCGATTTAGTTCAAATGAATTTGACAGCACTATGTTGGATCAATGTCTAAGTGACAACTTCAATTTGAGAGAAAACTGCGGCTTGTTGTCTTTCACGCCGTCCTTTTTTACATTTATAACAAGTTTTTCTGTATAGATATCGCTGGTGGTGTGTAGCACCTTCCATATCTAAGTTTCCTACTCATAATTCTGTCAAACTTGAGTCAAATGTTATCAATATCATATTTGGATGCAAAACCAGCAAGTTTGATAGGTCTGTTTTCAGTTTCTTCCACTTTGGCTCAGTGAAGTCCATAAAGAATGTGAATAGATCTGTGTTCCACAAGTATGTTCTTGGGAGAAGTTTGTAACACCCAAGAACTGCTTGAAAACTCGTCTGTTGCAAAACTCACCGCTCAATCTGTTAGAAAAATCCAAGAGCAAGAGGTGATTCATTCTTGATATGGATCTCAGTATCTTTCCTGAGTTATTGTTTGCAGGCAACATAAGAATCGAAACTAGTATCTCCTCTGTTTCTTTAGAGAGCCAATGACACTTGCTCTGAACATTACCACTTCTGTCATGTTGCCTTGTCTTCTTGCAGAATTGGTCATTGTTTAGAGTCAAAACTCAATTGCTTGTTTGTAATAAACGAATCCAAGTGAAGAAAAAGGATCAAACTAAAGGTACCATTACAATATGACACGTGGCGAAACACCAAGACTGAAGCATAGCCACTGATTAAATCATGCAAACTTGTGTAATCCGAAACTTTGAAGCTTTTGCGAAGAACCAACCAACAAACGTCTCATAATCTTCTTCTTCAACTGACAAAATCCAACTAATCATCCTCTGTCTCTCTGGCTCTGGCTTGTGTCTGAGCTCGAACCGAAAGGAAAGAGTCTCACCATGTCTTTAGCTCCGAGCAGTTATCCATCTCTGTATTCTTCACCTTCACTGCCAAGAACACAGCAAACCAAGCAAAACCCTAGTTTGATCACTCAATCCAGTTTCATTTCCGCCAAAAGTCTCTTCCTTTCGAGCAATTCGAATTCTTTATGTAATACCCATGTTGCCAAACGCCGGAATTTAGCTTCGAAGGCGTCGGAGACAGAGTCGACGGCGAAGACTGAAGGAGGAGGAGAAGGAGAAGCAGAAGAGAAGTATGAAACATATGAAGTTGAAGTGGAGCAGCCTTATGGTTTGAAATTCAGGAAAGGAAGAGATGGTGGCACTTACATTGATGCTATCTTGCCCGGTGGATCAGCTGACAAAACCGGGAAATTCACCGTCGGTGATAGGGTTATTGCCACAAGGTTTGTTCTTTATCCTTCTTGTTCCAAAGGTACTAGCATTGAGAGAGTGTGAAAAATTTGACTTGAGCCTTGAAAATTGAGAGTGCAGTGCAGTGTTTGGGACAGAGATTTGGCCTGCAGCTGAGTACGGTAGGACAATGTACACTATCCGTCAGAGAATTGGTCCCTTGCTTATGCAAATGGAGAAGAGAAATGGTTTGTTGAAATTTCCAAATTTATATAGCTTTGTTGTGTGTTTATCTATTCTCTCAGCAAGACTCATTTTTGGGCTGGTTATGGTTTAATCACACTATGTGTTGTGTTTTCTTCTCTTGCAGGTAAGGCTGAAGATGCTGGTGAGTTAACAGAGAAGGAGATAATAAGAGCTGAGAGAAATGCCGGATACATTAGCAGTAGATTGAGGGAGATTCAGGTGAGCTCAAAAGTATTGATTATGTGACACCAAAAGTAATTAGCTTTGGCTTGTGACTTGTGAGTGAGCTTTGGTTTTGTTTTTAAAACTTTAGATGCAAAACTATTTGAGGAAGAAAGAACAGAAAGCTCAACGGGAGAAGGATCTTCGTGAAGGCCTGCAATTTTCCAAGTAAATCCTTAGTGAGTATACCAAAGGTTTATAGAAACCGGAAAGTGAGCATTGACATGTGTGTAATTTGATGTAGGAATGGTAAATATGAGGAAGCATTGGAGAGGTTTGAGTCTGTGTTAGGTTCTAAACCAACACCAGAAGAAGCATCAGTTGCAAGTTACAATGTTGCTTGTTGCTACTCAAAGCTTAATCAGGTTAAAGCTTTTTAATCTTTCATATATTTGTATTTTGACTTGTAGAATTTATGGAGTTGTTTTGATAGGTTCAAGCTGGTCTCTCGGCTCTGGAGGAAGCATTGAAGTCAGGATATGAAGATTTTAAGGTAAGTCCAAGTAGTTGTAATGTTTCAATTGGGAGACAGAGAAAGGGAGAGAGAAATGGTGTTGTTTGTTGAAACTGTGAAATTTGTTTTGTTTGCAGAGAATCAGAACAGATCCAGACCTGGAAAATCTCAGGAAGTCGAAGGATTTCGATCCACTCCTGAAGCAATTCGACGAGTCATTCATCAACGAGAGTGCCATTAACGCCATCAAGTCCTTGTTTGGCTTTAACAAGAAATAGTTCACCTAAAGTTTGTGTCTTTTGATGTGATCTGTTCATAGCTTCTCTTCTCTTTCTTGGCAATATATACTTGTGAGGAATTGTATTTGATTATAAAGGTATTCTTTCTTATGAAATTCTTTAACCACCACTTCAGCCAATCTATACCTTTTCATATGAAATGACAATAAATCTTCAATTCTTTGGAATAAAAGTTTCATATTCAACGATTTCATGATATAATTTATATGCATTGAGGAATCATGATTTATTCATATGATGATTGATTCAAAATTTCAGTTTCACATTACACATTCTCTTGTTCAAAATCATTACACTCGCAAGCTAAAGTACTCCGTTTCAATATTAGCCTATCTCCTCTTAGTATCCATATCCTGAAACAAGAGATGCAAACAGATTCAGCAATGAAACATAAACGCGGTGGATTTTTACCAAATATTCAAGTATCTGAATGTGCCTGAACAAACCTGAGTTGTCCATTGGGTTGCCGACGGGAACTGGTTCAGGTTCCTTGATCTCAACAACAACACAGTCCGACATCAAGAAAGTCTTTGCAACCGAAGCTGCGTGTTCCAAGCAACATCTCACAACCTAAAATCAAGATACAGCCACTCAGGTTCATGGATCTTTGATGACCAATTTAGATAGCAAAGACAGTTTATGTATATACACAAAAAACTGACCTTTGTTGGATCGATGATTCCTGCAGCCATCAAATCCTCGTACTTGCCGGTTGCAGCATTGTAACCGAATTTCACGTTATCGTTGGAAAGTACCTGCCAATGAATAAAGACATCTCTTCAAGCATCTGACTTGAAATCTAGAGGTGAAAAAGTGTGGAGGTTGTTATCTGTGGTTATTACCTTCTCGCTAACTACGCTTCCATTAACACCAGCATTCTTGGCGATCAGTTTAAGGGGATAACTCAGTGCTCTTTTAACGATATCCGCTCCAACCTGAAGCAAGGCAATCATCAGCAAAGTTAGAAAAACCACAGGTTCAGGAGTTAAAATCTGAAGGCTTGACTGTTTTACCTTTTCTTCATCATTGTCAAGAGTGGCTTTAATGGCATCAACCTTGGAAGCAAGACGAAGCAGAGTGCAACCACCACCAACAACAATACCTTCCTCAACAGCGGCCTGAAGAATCAAAATCCTAATTAGTTATAGTTCAGGAGTATGCACATAACACGCTTCTAGTGCATCAGAAAAACAAAATCACCTTTGTAGCATTAAGAGCATCTTCAACTCTCAACTTCTTCTCTTTGAGTTCTGTCTCAGTTTGTGCTCCAACCTTCAACCAATACATAACGAGCTTAACTTAATATTTCTGGAACACATCTTATTCAGACAAAGGAAACCAATGGGTTTGTAGTTTACCTGAATCACAGCAACTCCACCAGAGAGCTTTGCAATTCTCTCATTCAGTTTTTCCTTCTCATAATCTTGCTCTGCTTGCTGCACAAACCAATTACCATTTCACTGTAACTACACTATCCACAAAAGGTAACAGAGATCCCATATTTGTTCTACTCTTTTACTATACCTCAATAAGATTTTTAATCTGTGTAACACGCTTTTTCACTGCATCCTGTGTGCTTCCATCACCCACTATGGTCGAAGTCTCCTTCGTGAGGACGACCTTTGAAGCGTTACCAAGAACCTCTTTTCCAGCTTTGTCAAGTGAAAGACCAACTTCCTCTCGGATCACAGTTGCTGCAAGCGAAGATAGAAAATTAGGACAAGATTAAAACTACAAAGATTTGCCTAAACATAGGGCTCATCAATGCACACAGAACTTACCTCCAGTTAGAATGGCAATATCGTCAAGGTATTGGCTCTTACGCTCTCCAAATCCTGGAGCCCTGAGAGCTGCAATCTTCAGTGTACCTCTAAGCTTGTTTACAACAAGAGTAGCTAAAGCTTCTTGTTCAATGTCTTCTGCAATTATTAATATTGGGTATCCGCCTCTAATTGCATCCTCCAAAACACCAACAAGATCTCTTGCATTGGTAATTTTCTTATCAACGAGAAGTAACTGCAATCATACAATACATTAGAGATCCTTGTTATACTCAGATATAAATATATTTAGTGGCTATATTGTCTGCCAACAAATTCATCTTCTACTCAGATTCAAGAAACATCTACCTTGCAATTGTCGAACTCGACAGACATTTTCTCGCTGTCTGTCACAAAGTAAGGGGAGATATAACCACGATCAAATTGCATTCCTTCTACGACGTAGAGGTTGTTTTCGGCACTTTTACCCTCCTCAAGGGTCACCACACCTTTCCTGCCCACTTTGCTCATTGCTTCAGCAATCATATTTCCAATTTCGTCGTTGTTACCCGCACTAACAGCTGCAACATCTGCAAGTTCACTGTCTTCCACCTACATCGACATGACTTACTTTCAGAACCTCTTGATAAAAAAGACTCTTCACATATTAAAAGAAAGAAAGTTTTATAAATTTTTAACCTCCTTGGACATTTTCTTGAGCTCGGTAACCAAAGCCTTTGCTGTCTTCTCAATACCTCTGGTGATCAAAACAGGGTTTGCACCAGCAGCTACCACCTGAATGATATAATGTTAAAATTAGTAAAATAATTTTTTGAAGTTTCACAAAGAGAAAGCTGAAAGAAGAACGTTACACAGACCTTGACACCCTCAGCAATAAAACCTTGTGCAAGAACAACAGATGTTGTTGTACCGTCACCAGCCAAGTCATTGGTTTTGGCAGCCGCTTGCCTCACAAGCTTAGCACCAATGTTCTCAACCGGGTCTTCCAACTCAACCTACAGAAGAAAGTTTGAAATTTTAAGACTCATTTGAATGAAGATGAACATCATTAGCAGAGGGAAACCAACTCTATACCTCTCTTGCAACAGTCACACCGTCATTAACAATTCTTGGCGATCCATACTTGCTCTCAAGGACAACATTTCGTCCTTTGGGTCCTAGTGTAACACCAACAAGGTCTGCGAGCTTGTTGACACCAGCCTAGTCCAACACAAAATTAGAAACCAGAGAAAATGTAAACCTTTAGCTCAAGTAGTAAAGTTCGGGAATGAAGTATCTACTAACGAAAAAAATAGACACTCACTTGAAGTTTCCTTATGGTAGTCCCATCTTTGTTGAAATGTAATTCCTTGGCTGCACATACAATTGCAGAACCAGATCTTCTGGGTCTAGGACACACACTTTGTCTCCTTCCAAAAGAGCTTGAAGACAACTTGTTCATAAGCTTCTTATCAGATTTGTGACCATTTGGAGCAACCATTGAACCAATGGAAGACGTGGCAGTGAAAGTTGACGCCATTTTTCACTTCCAAACACAAACAAAATTCAGCAATTAGATAACATTTCTAAGATATAAAAAAGACTCTTCTTTTCATCTATGTATCGTCAAACACAATCACCATAACCCAAACAAACAACAACCCAGTAAGCTAAAGTAATGAATTTTCACAACAAAACAGAAGAAAGGCGACACCTTTCAAAGCAGAGCTCAATAAGAACACAATTGACAATCTGAAGTAACACTAATCCATAAATTTTATTACAAAATACCCAAAATCATTGGAGCAATGAAGTAATACAAGTTTTCAAAAGCTAACAACAAATTCTTATCCAAACAAGACAAACTGTGGCGCTGAAAATGCAGAGGCTAAACTGTTCCATTGAAAGAGTTAAGGATTAAGAAACTAACAGAAGTAGAGAGATGACGATTGAGGTTCTATCACCGGAAGTTTTTGTTTTCCGGATAAGAAAACGGGAGCTGAAGCAAGGAAGTAGGTTTATCTCCTCACTCTCGCTTGGAAGGTGCTTTTTAACGTTCCCTTACCTCTTTCAAGCTAAGAGTTAATCTCGTCCGTTGGATTCAACACTAACGGATCCTGGATCCGATTTTAATTGGGCCTATTTGGGCCTTAATTCTTGCTCATTTTCCCAAATAGAACAACAAAGGAATCAGTGACAGCAATTATATAATTTATTTATTTTTAAAATGATTTTTCCCGATTATTCAATAATAAATTTGCGAAATGCTCGAGGAAATAATTATTTTGTGAGATATTTTCGTAGTGATATTAATGTGGCTGCTGGAATAAAGGAAGTATTATTGTATTTTTTTTAAACGATGGAGAAAAAGGTGAAAAAGAGAAAAAATAATTTAAAAATATATAAAAAAGAGATCTTGGAGGTATTTGAATCGAATCGACGTGAACGAACAAAACCACTTTTGCCTCTTCTCTCTTCTCTTAGCGGCTACGATTCGATCTCTTAAACCCTAGATTCCTTCTGACTTCTTTTTGTCCTGATATTTGTGATTTGGTTTTTTTTCTCAAACTCTTACTGTTCATTATCCGACGACAAGGATCTATCAGTCTTCGCTGCCAAGTCTGTTCTCATGTCTACCGTTGCTCCTCCTTCTGATCGTATCCTTTGCCTTTGTTTCTTATCTCCTTCAATTCTTTTACGAATCTATGTTCCTGAATCTTAATTCGATTCATATATCCATCTGTTGTTCCTGCAGCTAGCAAAGTGAATAACTTGATTGCAAAAATCAGTTTTTTTTAGTCTTGTTGAAGAAATCTATGGCAAAGAAATATATTTGTTTCCTTCACTTATCTTGTTTTTTCAGAAGCTGCTGATTTATTGAAAAAACTGTCTTTAGATTCAAAGGCAAGGACTTTGGAGATCCCCGAGCCAACTAAGAAGGTAAAGTTACATTTTTTTTTTTAATGTATCTACACATTTTGTTTCTCCAAGCAGAGTTCTCATGGCATCATTATCTGTGCAGACGGCTGTTTACCAGTATGGAGCTATGGATTCGAAGGGTCAAGTTCCTTCTTTTGATCGATCTTTGTCACCAATGTTACCCAGCGATGCCCTGGATCCTTCTGTTTTCTATGTTCCTAATGTGTATCAGCAGCCCTACTTTTATGGTGATAAGCTTTATCTTTACCTCTTCAGCCTTGTACACTCTAGAATTATTGGGATATCTATAACACAACCTTTTGTATAATCTTTCAGGTTATGGGAGTGACTACACAGGTTATACCAATTCCGAGAGTGTTGATATGACATCAGTACGTGCGTTAATCTTTTCTTATGAGCAGCTCGTATTCAGACTAAATAGTCTTTCTTTTCTCCTTACGTTTTGCCCTACTTAATGATGTAGGAGAAATTTAGGGAATTTACCTTTTCTTTTAATATTTACTTATTTCACGTTTTCTATTTTGTTTAAGGGTTTTCTATTTTATGTTTTGGTTTTATTCTCTATATATATAGAGATCCTAGGTTATTTACCGGGGATGTTTTTTTTGATTCTAATTAATAAGAACAGAGAGCTTTCTCTTTTCCTGGTGGATTCCAGACCCTTTTCTGGTGGATTCCAGAGTTTTATCATTAAGTTCGTCGCTAGCGAACTTGATTTCTATCTAGGCATAGTGTTTGCTATTCCTAGAGATTCCGACTGCGTCAAGTGGTATCAGAGCAGGCAATCTCCTACTCTTTTCGAAGCTTGAACAGCTATGGGTGATCAACCAGTAACCAAGGCCGACATGGAGGGTTTCACAGCAAGTTTGAAAGACTCAACCACGAACCTGGCAAATCTGGTGGCAGCGTTAACTAATCAGATTGCAGCATTAACCAATCAGATTGCTAACGCAGGACAAGGAGGAGGAGAAGGAATGGGACGAAATCAGAATCAACAAGGCAGACACAATCGACAACAAGGCAGAGAAGGAGAACAAGTGGTGTTTAACGAAAATCAGCAAAGAGGCAGAGAAAGAGAACCGGCTAGGCTTAACGAAAATCAGCAGAGAAACCAGGGAAGAGGAATCCCAAGAGTGGAAAACATCGTGTTGTGATTGATGAAAATACAAGTTCTTAATGGAGAATCCATGAAGGAAGAGATTGGTCAAGAGAATCTACATAAATAATTATGATTCTCACATGGATGCTAAAGAAGAACTCGTGAAGGACGAGATAGTTGATCAAGGGAATAAACAAAGCAATCATGTGAAGACTGATATTCTATTATTCTATGGAATTTCAGAAGTGGATGAGATGTTAATTACTCCAGAAGAGAAGCTAGTGGTACAAAGGAATCTCAAGACGTTAATTGCACATGAACATGAGAAGCACTACAAGGAAGAGAATCCAAGGAGAAAGAAATCAAGCGTCTTAGTTATGATTCATTACAAGAAAAGGCTAGATGCGAATTTCAAAGAAACTAATGGGTTGCTAAGTGTTGTTAAGAAGAAGACAACAATCCCAGAGGACCTTCCAGAGATTCTAACTAATTTGAGAGAGTTAGATTCAGACGGTTATTTACATGACTTCCCTCCTATGCGGGACAAAGCAAATGAGATTCTTTAATCAGAAGAGAACTTGAGGACAAGTTCTTCAGAAGTGGAGGAGACTGATGTAGGAGAAATTTAGGGAATTTACCTTTTCTTTTAATATTTACTTATTTCACGTTTTCTATTTTGTTTAAGGGTTTTCTATTTTATGTTTTGGTTTTATTCTCTATATATATAGAGATCCTAGGTTATTTACCGGGGATGTTTTTTTTGATTCTAATTAATAAGAACAGAGAGCTTTCTCTTTTCCTGGTGGATTCCAGACCCTTTTCTGGTGGATTCCAGAGTTTTATCATTAAGTTCGTCGCTAGCGAACTTGATTTCTATCTAGGCATAGTGTTTGCTATTCCTAGAGATTCCGACTGCGTCACTTAATCATTTGCTACTTACTCCAGGGCGCTCCCGGAGAGAACGCATCTCTTGCTTATCCACAGGGATATGGGTATGCTACCTATCCTTACTCACCAGCAACAAGCCCTGCTCCACAACGAGATCCTAGGTTATTTA